GTTTATGTACTGGGTACCCTGGTGCTCCGGTGCCAAGACAGGGATATGGGTTCCATCTAGGGTGACCAGACAACAAATGTGAAAAATCGGGACAGGGGGTGGGGGTAATAGGAGCCTATATAAGAAAAAGACCCCAAAATCGGGACTGTCCCTATAAAATCAGGACATCTGGTCACCCTAGTTCCATCTATCGCCCCACCACAGTTAGGGAATCCCATTGCAGCAAAGCCATCCACTATGACCTGCACATTTCCCAGAGTCACTACCTTTCGTAGCAGCAGCTCAGTGATTGCTTTGGCTACTTGCATCACAGCAGCCCCCACAGTAGATTTGCCCACTCCAAATTGATTCCCGACTGACACCTGGTAGCTGTCTGGCGTTGCAAGCTTCCACAGGGCTATCGCCACTCACTTCTCAACTGTGAGGGCTGCTCTCATCTTAGTATTCTGGTGCTTCAGGGCAGGGGAAAGCAAGTCACAAAGTTCCAAGAAAGTGCCCTTATGCATGCGAAACTTTCGCAGCCACTGGGAATCGTCCCACACCTGCAACACTATGCGGTCCCAACAGTCTGTGCTTGTTTCCCGGGCCCAGAATCGGTGTTCCACGGATAGAACCTGCCCCATTAACAACATGATCTCCAAAGCACCGGGGCCCGCGGTTTGAGAGAATTCTGTGTCCATGTCCATGTCCTCATCACTCTTGTCGCTGCGCTGCCGTCGCCGCCTCCTCCTCTCCTAATTTTTCTGGTCCTGGCTCAGCATAAACTGCACGAGAACGTGCGAGGTGTTTACAATGTTCATGACTGCTGTCTTGAGCTGAGCGGGCTCCATGCTTCCCGTGGTATGGAGTCTGCAGTGTTCACCCAGGAAAAAAGGCGCAAAATGGTTGTCTGCCGTTGCTTTCATGGAGGGAGGGGTGAGGCTGTACCCAGAACCACCTGCAACAATGTTTTTTGCCCCATCAGGCACTGGGATCTCAACCCAGAATTCCAATGGGTGGGGGAGACTGCGGGAACTATGGGATAGCTATGGGATAACTACCCACAGTGCAACGCTCCAGAAATCGACGCTAGCCCCGGTACATAGACGCACACCACCGAATTAATGTGCTTAATGTGGCCGCATACATTCGACTTTATACAATCTGTTTCCAAAATTCGAATGATATAAATTCGGATTAATCCCATAGTGTAGACATACCCAAAGGGATAGTTTTCCTTTGCAACCACTTGTACTTGAGAGACAGACTTCAAAACTTCAGGCTCTTTCACTTTCCTCTCCCCCAGCCTCTCTCTGACCTCTACATACAGGAAGCCCAACTAGCAATGGACAAAAAAACATAGCACATTACAGAATTAGTCCCAGAAATCAGTTCCAAGCAGGCAGACCCCGGCATCTGTGCACAGCTCTACTGAAGTTTATAGGACATTATGTAGACAAATGGAATAATCTGCACAAATCCAACTGAGGGATCAGAGCCTAAATCTGAAATTTTATCACCTTCCAACCCATAATTTTTCCCCAGTTGTTTTACAAGTTTTATTGTAGAAATTACATTAACATCACATGATTATAATCCAAAAAGAGCACGGAACTATCAAAATTTGCAGAAATACTGAACTGATGACCTAACAATATTGTTCTATTGCTTTGGCTTGGCAAACCGGTCAATTGAGAGGTCAAATAATGTCAATTGATCAACTATTATTTGACCACAGTCAAATATCAAACGTTTCAGCAAGAACCTCCTGATGTACACAATGTCATGATTGTATCATGTATACTTCCATTTTTCAGAACTTAATTTCATTGTGTTTTGCATTTTCAGAATTAAAATAACTCAGTTAAGAAACTTGTTTTTTGTAAGTAGGTATAAAGAAGGCTAAGCCTATTGGAAACCATAAAGTCTTATTCTTTGTTGTTACTGTTCCAATAAATCAGTTCTTTAAGATACATGGACCATTTTTGACATTTGACAATATTTTAATCATTATTTGTTTGGTCATCTGACCAATTATTTATGGACCGTTCAAATGCCCAACTTATATTGTATACTACTACTAGGTAAGAGACACAATTTTGATATCTTTCTCTCTCTCCAAAAGCTGGAAATACTGTAGAGGCATCATCCTCAAGTCCTCAGCAAGTGAGACCCCAATCCTGCAAACAGCTCCATGTGGGTGCATGAATCACTGAAGTTAAATGGATGCTGTGTGGACACAAAAGAATGGAGCACTGTGCAGGATCGGGGTGTTGCACTGGTCAACAGCAACTATAGGTAAAGAGCAGCACTGCCAGCTGCTGAAGAAGTCCATTCTGGCTCAGCTGGGAGGAAGATGGCTACGATTTGGAAACTTTTAAAGGGACACAATAAATTAGAAATCTAGTATTTTGTAACTGTTCAAAGTAGTTTCAGGAACAAACATCTGCTCCCAAATTCCCCTATCTGCAGGGCCCTACCAAATTCATGGCCATGAAAAACCATGAAATCTGGTCCTTTGTGTGCTTTTACCCTATACTATACAGATTTCACGGGGGGAGACCAGTGTTTCTCAAATTGAGGGCCCTGACTCAAAAGGGCATTGCAGGTGGGTCACCACATTATTTTAGCGGGGTTGCAGTATTGCCATTCTTACTTCTGCACTGCCTTCAGAGCTGGGTGCCTGGACAGCAGCAGCTGTCGGCTGTGCACCCCGTCAGCAGCAGCGCAGAAGTAAGGATAGCCATACTATACAAATGCTACCCTTACTTCTGTGCTGCTACCTTCAGAGCTGGACGGTCAGAGAGTGGCAGCTGCTAACTGAGGGCCCAGTTCTGCAGGCAGCAGCACAGAAGTAAGCGTGTCAATACCATACCATGCCATCCTTACTTCTGCGCTGCTGCTGGCAGTGGCTCTGCCTTCAGAGTTGAGCTCCTGGCCAGCTGCCCCCGCTCTCCAGCTGCCCAGCTCTGAAGGCAGAACTGCCACCAGCAGTTGCACAGAAGTTATGGAGCAGTACCACAACCCTCCCCCACCTCCCAATAACCTGTGGACCCCCCCCCCCCAGAACTCTCTTGGGTTAGGACCCCTACAGTTACAACACCCTGAAATTTCAGATTCATATAGCTGAAATCATGACATTTACATTTTTTAAAATCCCCTGACTGTGAAATTGACCAAAATGGACCGTGAATGTGGTAGGGCCCTACCTATCTGTTTTTGGGATTTTATGGTCACACTTAAAAATAAGTAAGTGTTTTCCTTCTCTTTGTTGCTAGGTGAGAGATCCATGCAAATAAGGGAAACCAACCATAGAGGGAAAACATGAAAAAGACTGGAGTGCTGCCAAATGCACAAAATTATAGAAATCATGGGCATTGATCCTGGAAGCTCTTCCATGCTGGCAGATCTTTGTGCCAGTGCAGAGCCCCATTAAAGATAATGGGCATCCACATGGGCACAACAATATACATCTGGGGAGCATGTTGCAGGGCCTGGACCTTAGGTGTCACCTGCAACAACGATTGAGAGAAGAAATGTCACACAGTATTATTTTTAACATTCTGTCAAACATTTTTGACAGTTTTCAGAGTAGCAGCCGTGTTAGTCTGTATCCGCAAAAAGAACAGGAGTACTTGTGGCACCTTAGAGACTAACAAATTTATTTGAGCACTTTAAGAGTAGGGCAACATAGGAAATACCTTATCAGGACAGACCGATCAACTGGTCCACATTCTCAGGCATTTTAGCTCTATAAATTATTGTACTCTATGTTTCAGTCTGGAAAGAGATGGGGATTGCAAACCACAAAAAGAAATGTGGGAACAGTCTACTATGGGATGTGATGAACTTCCTTAGCAAAAATAATAATAAAATAAATAATAATAATAAATCTGTATTATAACATAAACAAACAGAAAACAGCTCCCAAAGGGAGAAAACTGATTAACTGATGCAATAACCTCTTGTGTAATTTAACAAATAGTGGTATAAATGCTCCAGATGTATGAATTACATTTATAGGGTAAAAGTAATCTTTGAAATAAATTAGTATTTTCTTTTCTCCAGTACTAGGTGTTTTGCAGGAGAATAGTCAGTATGCAGTGTCTCTTCTATCAGGTCTTCTATCAGAGAAGTTTGTGGCTAAGGCTGTGCAAGTTACACTGCTGAAGCAGGGGGGTGGCATTAGAAGAGGGAAACCTTTCTTCCCTTCAACCAAAAAGATAAAGGCGCTTAAGAGGGAATTATTTCCAATGACCTATATAATTTCAGCAATCCGCCGGTTGCTATTCGTAGAGGAGATCTAACTTCCTAATGAGATAGAGTCAATAGCATAGCCCTTCCTGGGGGAAGCTAGAGAGTCGGTCCAATCGATTGGAAAGTGGGACAATTATTAGCACCGAGCTCGAAGGAACAAAAGGCGGTAGAAAAGCATCCTCATGTTTTACCAGCCCCGGCTCCGTCCCTGCCCCCGGCATCGTGCACCCCAAGCGGGGGCGGACTGAGTTCGCTGACTGAAGGAAGCCGGTTTTGTTCGGCAGGGAAGGGGCTGGGCTGAGGCATCGCTCCTGTTGCCACACCCAAGGTCAAAGCAGCACCCAGCCAGCCCTCCCTCCCTGCTGCCAACTGCAGCGCGTTGCACACGCCGCCCCAACAGCCAAGGGCGCAGGTGACTAACTCGCGAGCCTCACGGCAGCGCTGGGGGCCCCTTGCGCGCAAGGGGGGAGCGGGCCCGCGCTTTGGCTTAGGAGTTGCGCATCCTATTTCCGCGCGGGCGGATTAGAGCGCAGCGCCGCCTCCCTGCCCAGCTCGCAGGCGGCGGGGGACCTGCCCCGGAACCCATCCCCTCCAAACCCACCACCACGCTCCTCGGGGCAACTCCGTCCCCGCGCATCGCCCCCTCACAGCACCTGGCCCTCCCCGCCGCACTGTGCACGGGGCCCGTATCGGGCGCGGGGAGCCCCCGGAGAACAGACACACACGTGGGCGCCGCTCGCCAAACGAGCGCGTAAAGCGCCTACCTGGCTGGGGCCCCCTCTCCGCTGTGACTGGAGCCGGAGTAATTCCGGGAGCGGCCCCGGCTCGGCAGCTGCAGGAAGAAGGGGAGATGCAGGCGGCCGCCTCTGGCTCAGCTGGCGCCGCGGGAGGAGCAGGAGGAGGCAGCTCCCAAGAGCAGCAGGTAAATCCCTCCTGGTTGTTGAGCAATAATCCTCCGGCGCCGGGGGGGAGGGGTGGGCGCCGTCCCCTGCAGCCCCCGGGGCTTTGTTACCCCTGGGCTGGCACCTCCAACTCAGGGGGAGCTCGGAGCCTTTCAACAGCCCCCACAGCAACTTGGGAACAGCAATAAAGTTTGTGTAACTAGGAAGTCGGGGCCGAGTGTGTGACTCACCGCGAGCCCCAGACTCCCAACAGCGGGAGGAGGAGCTGGAGCCGGGGCTGCAATGGAAGTTGTCCTACCACAGCGTCCCCACCTGCTGCTGCTGATGCGCCCCCTTCAGGCTGTCCTCGTGCAAGCGTGCCACCCTATCATAAAAAAAATGGGCGGCTGCCGTACCTGCTCCAGGTGTTTACTAATTGCATAGGATCATTGAAACGCACAGGGGAAGTTGCCACTGAAAGAGTTTCTGGAGCTAGAAGGATGCTGCTTCAATTTCAAGTTCAGAGCCTATCTTTCTCTGATTCTTCTGAGTGAATGAAAACCAAATATTGACCTTGATATTGCATTAATTTTGCTGACAACTGTGGCTTCATATATATATATATGTTCTTATTTTTCCTTTTAAAAAAATATGGCTTCAGCTGTATGAATTAGAACATCAGGATAGTGATCCCAGACTTGTGAATATGGCTTTACCATAGATCAAAATAGGAAGAGAAGATTAAGGTAAAAACTCATTCAAATAAAAGTGCTATGTAATTAAATAAAAATAATAAATTCAGTAAATTCCACGTATATGGGAAGTATCTTTCCTAAAAAATCTATACAATGAAAGATTAATTTATTCATTTAGATTTATTGCACCTATCAGTAACTTCTAGATCCTTACAAAATATTTTAAAACCACATATATTAAATCAGTCATGTCAAAAAGATAGTTAAAAGGCTCTCACTCCAAAAACCTTCCCCAGCCCTAAATAAAACAATTGCCCCAAAATCCCAGACCTCCACAGAACATATACACCTGCAATGTATAAAAAATTCCCTTCAAGCAAATTTTCTCTGCCACTTCCATATCTACCCCAGTCAGACCGCCTCACCTGAAAAAGACTGGGAGTGTGCCTTGAAGGTTCACCAAATATAGGCTCAATTGAAACAAGGAAGGAAGCAAATTCCAGAGATCAAAACTCCTCACTAAGAATATCCTGCTGCTGTCTCCTTTTTAGACTTGGAATGGGTATTAGTTCAAGTACATTGAATACTTGCAAATGTCCTGCTATTATCCAAAAAGAGACTCTCAAATAGGCCAGACCATTTAGGTCATCACAGGATAGAACAGGTAACTTCAACTATATCCCAAAATGAACTGTCAGCTAGGGCATGTCACAATGCACAGGTGTAATATTTTGTGTGAAACATCACTTCATAAACAGGCCTGTGATTTCTGTACTAGCTGCCATTTCCAGATGTTTTAAGGTATAGCCCCATTACAATAATCCAAGGGGGGTGGGGGGAAGACACAACCTCTTCCTAAGTGCAAATGATAAAATGTGCTCTTAGGAACAGCTGCCATCTGAGTAATCAAGAATAGCTAGGGATCCAACAAAACCCCCAGGCTGTGAACCTTTGAAACAGTGGGCATACCCTCTCAACTAAGGATGCTGATATCCCAGTTCTTCCACTTGCTTCTCCCATCCCTGTAAGCATTTTTCTTATCATTCCTGCACAGTAGATGGAATCCCTGAATGACTTAAGCCTGGTCTACAATACAAAGGTAGGCCTACATAAGCTGCCTTGCGTCAACCTAGTTGTGCATGTGTCTACACTGAAACGTGTCTTCCACCGATGTGAGCTCCCCATTACGCCAACCCCATTACAGAACCGTTGAGCCATGGTTGATGTATTGAGGTTGACACAGCACGAATGTAGACACTGCATTACCTATGTCGACCCTAATAGTCCTCCAGCAGCTGTTCCACAATACCCAACACCGACTGCTTTGGTCACAGTTGTGAACTCCACTGCCCAAGGGTCATGGAGACTGGAAGCTCTCCTTACCTCCCCCTTAAGCCCTGCACGTTTTTGAAATGCCTTTTAGTGATTGTCCATTTTGGTAAGCACACCTAGCAGCTCTTCAGTGTTGCATGCAACTGCCCGACTCACTATGCCAGCTACATGCTTGGGCCTGTGGAGAGAAGAGGCTGTGCAGGCACAACCTTGGATCACCCACAGAAACATGGACATCTACGATTAAATTGAACGGTGGATGCAGGAGAAGGAATCAGGGATCAGCAGCAGTGCCGCATGAAAGTGAAGGAACAGCAGCAGGCATATCAGAAAGCCAGGGAAGCCAACAGTCGATCCAGTGCCAAGCTGCAGACCTGGCACTTTCACAAAAAGATGCATGCCATACTTGGCGGAGATCCCACCACCACTTCGCACAGCGAGAAGGAGGTGGAGGAGGAAGAGGAGAGGATGGGGGATGTGACCAGGAGATCCAACTATGGGGTGAGCAGGGACCTATTTGAGACTCCACCACAGTCCAGTCAGTCGAGCATGGGCAAACCCGAAGCAGGGGAAGGAATCTTGGGTAAGTTTATTTCCCATTAAAGTGATGGTATCCCCAACTTAGCGGGACACAGCTATTGGCTTTTCATTAATCTACTCATACTACAAGAGGTACAACAAAGAAAGGTAGAGTCATCTGCTTTTCATTCCCCTGTACAGTTTGGGGTGGGGTGGTGGGGAAGGGGATATAGACTAGTTTGTTTATGTACACAGGGATGATCTCAATGAAACTTTCATGGAAGTACTCTGCAATCCTTTCTGAAAGGTTTTTAGGGATGGCAGACTTATTTCTTCCTCTATGATAGGAGACTTTCCCAGTCCACTAAGCGATATCTTTGGCAGGTACTATTGCAGAAAACAAGCTAGTGGCATATGGGCCATGGCAACTTCAGGACACCAGCAGCAGCTGTGCCCTGTGTGCCTTTGTTATCCTCAGAAGTGAGATATCAGTTAAAATCACCACCATCTGTTGAAAATGGTGCCAATATTCAGTGCCATTGCCTTATACTCATGGTTTCATGCAACTGAGCATTTCTCTCCTCATTTCCCTTGCCCCTGGCCAGGCATACTCACTGTGGATGTTGCTGTGAGTCGCACCGTGCACAAGCACAAGTGTCAATGTCCTGTTTAAAATTTTAGGGGAGGAAGGGAGCTGTGAATCTTGACTTTCATTTTTTGTTGTGACTATACTGACAATGGTAACTGTGTGTTTTATCTGTAGCTGCTGCCGTTGAGGTCATGAGGGGTTCCTCCTCCACACCCGTGGAATGCCCGAGAAATAAGAGATTCAGGATGACATGTTCAGCAAGATCCTGCAAGCCAGTGCTGTATCAGACCCTGAACAGAGGACCTGGAGAATTAATATTGCAGACTGTAGGGAGAAAGGCCCAGATGTCAGAGAGGGAGATGCACCAGGATATAATGGGATTTCTTCGGCAGCAAACACAGATGCTGCAGACTCCTGTGGACATACAGGCTCAATAATCCTGGACTCACCTCCCTTTTGTGAACTCCAGTACATGGAAAATTCCTCTATAGCACACTCCATCCCCCACCCCCCAAAACCGCTGCGCAACATTCCACAGAATATCAGGAGTCATGTTCCTACCCCTACCAGTCCAAACTAAGAGATATTAAGGACAACTACAGCTTCACCTATGAGAGCCATGGTAGCTGTATGTGTAGCTAAAATGGACATGAAGGTTCGTTCTTCAAGCTCTGTTCCATACATTTATTAAGGTTTTAATGTGTTTGCTTTTAACTTGCACAAATTTTCTTGAAGTGTTTTCATTACTCAATAAAACAGTATTGTTTGGAAAATAATTCACCTTTATTAGTTCCCAACATATTCTGCAGGATGCCTGGTGGAAGTGAAAGCATCCACTTACTTGTTATTGTACGATATGACACAACTAATAGGATCAGTGACAAACACGGTGTAATAATTATAAGTATCAAAGGGGTAGCCGTGTTAGTCTGGATCTGTAAAAGCAGCAAAGGGTCCTATGGCACCTTATAGACTAACAGACGTATTGAAGCATGAGCTTTCGTGGGTGAATACATGCATCTGAAGAAGTGGGTATTCACTCATGAAAGCTCATGCTGCAATACTTCTGTTCGTCTATAAGGTGCCACAGGACTCTTTGCTGCTTTTATAATTATAAGTGTGCAGCAAGCCCCACAAAAGTAATAGGTGCAGTGCAGTAGCGTAGCTAGTGGGGTGCAGGGGAAGCAGCTGCTTCCCCTCAGCACATTTTCTAAAAGCAGCGCCATACAACTTTGATACAGACGGTTTGGCGGCCGGGCCCCTTGGAGCACTCCGCGGTGCAGAGGCAGCTGTCAAGGATCAGGTCCGGGCAGTTCCTGCTGGCCCAGGAGAGCCCCACCAGCGCGGCCGCAAAGTAGAGGCAGCGGCAGAGCCCGTGCATGGTAGAGGAGCGGACGCTGCGGCTCTGCGCTGCTCATGGCAAGCTCCAGGCACAGCCCGCTGTGAGGGCGGCTTGGTGCCCACCCTGCCTCCTGCACTGACCAGGTCCCAGGGCACCCCCAGGGCAGGGAGGGTCTCCCCCCCGCCTCCTCGCGGCAGCCACACCGGGCGGACCCGTGGCCGGTCTCTCCCAGCAGGAGCCTTGGCGCCGCCCTCGGCTCGCTGGAATAAAACTCCCCCGAGGAGGGGAGAGTGCTTCACCCCTCCCCCCGCGGCCTGTCAGCGCGACCCACCCATAGCCAGGCTTCGCCAGCAGCCCTGGGCAGGGCAGCACCCCCGGGCTGAGCGGGCGAGCCGGGCTGCAGCTTGCTTGGACCGCACCTGGTGGGGCTCGCTGCCTTCTGCCCCCATCCCCCAAGGGGTAGCGCCAGCGCTGAGCCTGGGCTGGTGCTGCACGCGGTGAGCCCCTCCGAGGCAGTGACAGCGGGGTTTGCTCTCTG